GCACTTGATTGATTCTGGCTAAGGATGACTGGCTGACTGTAGGCAATGGCCCCATGGCCCGTCCCCTTCCTAACGACATCCCCGCAGATACGACTTTGATAGACTGGCTGTAAGGTCAGTCGTTAGAGAGGGGGACCACTGTATTATGAGTTTGAACAGAGTTAAGGACCTCCACAGGTATAAATCCAGCCCTGCAAAAGGTACGTCTTTTTCAAACATACATAGTATCCACATCGATTATGTAAAGAAAAATACACTGACCCTGTAATTGTATTTAACGGTTACTTAGAGGTCCTGCAACAAAAAACGTTACACATCTGAGAAGAACACAAGGAGCAAAATCACCCAGTCATACTTACAGAAGACATGCACTGCAAAACAAAGAAGGAAACACTGAAAATAAATAAAACTTAACCAACTTACTAAGTAGTAAACTTTTAGTAAATGGATGCAGGACAATCCAGGCTATCAAAAATGCTGATCTTTTGATAGTTAAAACTGCAACAGCTTATGCTACTAATCAAGGCTGTGAAGTTGTTCTTGTCAAAGAAGACACAGACCTTCTTGTCCTGCTTTGTTTCCATACAGATTTACAATCCAACAACATTTACTTAAAATCTGAGTCCAAAATAATGCAAAGAAATTCAAAATATGGAATGTCAAGTTAACCAAAAATGCTTTAAAAGAAGAAACTTCTTGATTTCTGCCATTTGTTCATTCAATTTCGGATTGTGATACAACTTCTCGCTCTTATGATGTCACTAAAGCATTGGTTCTAAATAAACATAAAACAAACAGTCATTTGAAAGAACAACTCTTTTTGAGGAGTTTTTCAAATGTAGAAGATATAATCAGAGCTGGAGAAGAAGCCATTGTCTTTTTATATAGAGGATTACCATATGAAGGACTACATTTTCTTCAATTTAGAAAATTTGTTAACAAGGTTTCCACCAGTACTGTACAAATACAAACATTGTCACCTCCCTCTGATGCAGCAAGATTCCACTTGCAATGCACTTGCTGAAAACATGGACTCAATTCTTCAGTAGGATGTGGCGAGTACCGAGAAAGCAACTGTAGTAAATTTCCTTTGGTAATTAATGATGATCTTTGGGAGATTTAAATATCTCAGAAAGGCATGCAACTTTGTATCATTTTGTTATCTTTGACCAGACAATTCATTTGAATCTCTGTATTGAACAAATCTGCAGTTAATATGATATATACAATAACAATATTTGGAGAAAAATAACATTCATATAATTGTTTCACTTGCTGATTTATTTCACTTGATCAGTTGATTACTCTATTAAGCATATTTAACATTTAAATAAATTAAATTTTGAAAATCATTAATATTACTTCAAATTGATAAATTTTATTAATGGGGTGTTGTATTATTTTTTATTTATATAAAAACATCAAAAAAGCAACTGCACATCAATATTAAAGTGAAATATCATAAACATCAAAACATAAATTTATTTTTTTCCACATGTGTACTTTAAATGATGTTAATGGGTATCATATATGCTTCAAAAAACTATAAAACAGGCAATGGGGCCACAGGTTTTCTGATTTTTACAACTGTTCCCAAATAGATAAAACAGAAGACTTTTGATATGTTGTTCTCTATATACACCTTAACTAAAAAAAACACCAAAATAAATTATCTTGCAATTAGTTTCAGGTTAAGCTATTTTTTACATTAGATTGGCTAGAATATATTGACAGTTTTTGTTATACATTGGGAAAATAGTTCTCAAAATAATTCTGCCAAATGCACTGTATGAACACTTTTGACTCTCAGCATACCAATGTCTTCTGATAAGCCCCAAATTGTCCCAAGAACAAAGCAATTATGGCCACAAACTTTTGAAACATTTTATTTCTAAGAGTCATGAACTATAAGGCCAGGAATTTCTGGTATATAATGTGGCCAGCCTTGTGCATTTGGCAGAAGATGTTCAATTATTTGGTTGTCCTGACAACTCAGCGGCCTTCATCTTTGAAAATTATATGCAGAAGCTAATAAAAATATACAAGGTCAGGAAGAAAAGAAAACCACTAGTACAAACAGCAAAGCAATTACAAGAATCAAATCCATACAACAGCAGCAACATGCTTCTATTAAGAACATAACACAGAGCCTAGACAACAAGTACCAGTTAAACAACACATCATGCTGTGATGTTCTTCAAAAAAAAAAAAAAAAGAAGATGAGAATGGTGACAAACTCTTTCTCTGCACAGTGTATGAAAAAGCTGAAATTATTTGATAACCCTTGTGATAGCCATGTTATTGGAGCACTAGCTTCCACAAATTAAATCTCAAAAATGTTAAAATAAGGCTACTCCTTAAAAGACTGCACACCACAAGAGCAATGATGGATGAGCATGAATTTTAACTAGTAAATACTAAGTGTAGTAATACCTTGATTAATGCAATCTCGTTCAAGTAAACTTGCTATAATGCAATTGGTCCCGAAGACATTTCTTTTAAATTATTTAAAACAAAAATATATATTTATACATATATATATATATAGAAATTAAAAAATAATACAATTCCTTTCTCTCCTCCAGCCAATCAGCATTCGTTGACATTAGCAGACAAATCAGCATCCACTTAGACCAGTAGCTAGCTTCCCTTTGCTATATTGTGCTTACATGAAATCATTTTTTCCAGAAAAAATTTTGTGCAAAGTGATCATTTTTATTTAACAATATGTGAGGAAAAAATCAAGTGAAAATGCACAAAGTGTACATAAATGGTCTAGAAAAACCATTTCTATAGAGAAAAAGCTAAAGGTTATACAGGAATTTGAAGCTAGTGAGTGACAGAGTGATACTGATCATGATTTGGGCTTAAATCTTTCATCCATTAAAACAATTTTATCAAATGCTGAGAAGACGAAAGCATCTGCTCAATCCAGCACTTCATTAACTACTACAAAATTAGCAAATCTGCTAACACTGATGTCAAGGCAGGAAAACTTCCTGAGTATTTGAAGCAAGCTATTGCAAATGGGGATTTCCCTCCAAATCTCATATTTAATGTAGATGAAACAGGGCTTTTTTGGAAGAGCATGCCAAAGCACACTTTTATATCCCATGAAGAGAAGCATGCTTCAGGATTTAAGGCTGCCTGATGCTTTTGTTGGGCAGAAATGCTTCGGGAGATTTGAAGTTGAAACCATCATTGTTTATCACTCTGAAACACCTAGAGCTGTGAATGGTTTCTCTAAGGCACATTTTCCTGTGATGTTGAGGTCAAATAGGAAGGCCTGAGTGATGCAGAACTTTTTCAGTGATTTGTTCATAAACCATTTTTGCCCCAGTGTCAAATCGTACTGTGTTGTTACTTCTTATCAATGCTCCCAGTCATGCACAGAATCTTGCAAATCTCCAGACTCCACTACCTGTTGAAACTGTCTTCTTTCCACTCAACACCACCTCTCTGCTTCGGCCATTCGACCAAGGCATTCTTTCTATGTTTAGTCAGCTAGTTAAGGCTACTGATGGAGAAGATGAACAGTCAGTGAGAGAATTTTGGAAGTTATATAAAATCATGGCAACAATTTACAACATCAAAGAGATATGGAAGGAAGTTACAGCCAATTGTATGAATGGTGTTTGGCAGATGGTATGGCCTGAGGTCACCAATGATTACAATATTTTGCTGAGGAGGAAATGCCATTGATAACCAGAGAAATCATCAAGATGACCAACCAAGTAGGACTGCATGAAGTTGAGGAGAATATAGAGGAGCTACTTGACTATTCGAGGGAGAATTTCACAAATAAAGAGTTGGAGGAAATGGTTGAGCAACAAGTTGGAGAAGAGGGCACAGAAGAAGCTCAACAAAAGATGATTCTCAAAAGAAAATTTTTAGCAGAGACTCTTGAAAAATTCACAGAGTTGCTGGATACCCTCTCTGAGAAAAATCCAAATTTTGAGTGCAGCTTGAACAAAAGGTGGGCTATTCAAAAGGAGTGCAAAGGACCACTTGTAAACTTATTCGAGAAGAAATATGTTTCTATAGCTTCAGAAAAGGATGAACTACAGCCGGATCAATCATCCAATCCCTCTACATAGCCCCCACCCTTTTGTTTGGCTTTACAGATTAATTTATGGGCTCCCAGGGTGGCCACACTTGTGAGGAAACAATCCCGAAAATCATGCCAAAGATAGGCCCTTACAAGCTGTGGTCTGCTTACAACCTGAAGGGCAAGAGACAAAAGGCCCAAGTAAAACAAAAAGGAAGCATTCAGAAATCTTCTACTCTTCAAATGCAAGAAGACTGTGTGCCAAAATTTAATCACTGTTAAAGCATAATGTGTTAATTTTGGTTTTAACACAGTAAACCTTAAAATAGAAACACACTGAGATGTAAGAGACTTAAAACGACTGTTGTATGTGAAATAAATTATAAAGTTAGTGTGTGTGTGTGTGCATATATTAATATAGTAAACTTCATAGCACCAACACCAGTTGAGTATTTTGAAATAATCATAAAATTCAATGTTTAAGAGAATGAAATAGAAATTGTCTTCCACTTAACCATTCTCAGGGTATTTTTTAATTTTGTGTTTGATACAGAAGCCTGCCTTCAAACCCACCCAAAGGTAAAGGAAAGCACTATAGAGGACCAGATGGCAAAATTTCCGAAACATGCTCCCAATAAGCCAGGAAGACCAAGGTATGTTGGAGTCAATAATTCTAGATCGAAAATTTATAATGGAGTTTTCCCTTATATTCTGTCACTACTCAATTAAAAAATTAGTTCATAAAAATAATATATATGATGATGGATATTTTGCAGAAACCTACTTCAGCAAATGGTGCCCAAACATTGGACAATGATTAAGTGAAAAAGGAAGAGCTGACTGTTGATAACTATAGAAAAACATCTAAGTGTCATCAATAATAATTGTAACAAAATTTTGTAATTTTTAAAGCTTCTAATCTATCTATTTCAATCTAAGTACGAATGGCTTTCTCTCTCTTTAAACTTAGGATACAGATACAACTTTGTGCAGAAAGTAACATGGGCTATATGGCTGTGAAAAGACCAGATTTGTTTGGTAGTGTGTGATCAAGAGGGCTATTATTTACATTTATTCTTTGTGTTAGGACTTCTCCTAAATCATTCTATCCATGATCAGTTATGAATTAAAATGATTCAAAAATTTTGTGAAGCCTTCTTTTGTGTTCTCCCCCCCCCCAGCTCTCCTTAACTGAAAGAGGCTGGTGCTTTCTCTTAAACATGCGTGCACACTCCCTCAACTAAATAGGCTTGCGTCAGCCATATCTTTTGCTTTTCTTGCATGTACTCACAAGAATCAGTTAGACGATGACTTTACAAAAACATTTGGTATTGGCAAATTTTCATTTACGTTGTGTTGCAACAAGAAGAGAATAAATCAATTCTTCATTAAATGGAACAAAAATAGTCAGATTACACTGCAAACCACACAGCAGAAATCAGAACAACAAAAGGTAGGGAATTTTGTTTTGGAAACTTGAAATGTGATGCAAAACATATGCAAGAAGCAGGAGCAATGTACCTTATTTTCCTTTGATTAAAAAGCTTTGGAAAATTATTTTTTTGCACATTGTTATTTTTATTGATTTTAATCAAAATATATAATTAGATAAAGAAATCATTTTGATTGTTTTTGCAAAAAATCATGATCAATATGGTTGATTTCATCAAAACAACTCAGGATATTTAAAGCTATTTTCATCTGAGCAATGCTGGTTACACTGCTAGTCAACAGTAATCGAATTTTCCTACATTCTAATAACTACTTCCATGTAAGAGACTGTATGAACAGATGAGAAAGTTAGTATGCTGTTACCAGAACTAAAACAGAAATAAAAAATTTGTTTTAACAAAAAAATAACTATTGGATACACTTACAAGATTCCAGACACACAAACAAAAAACAGAAATTCTATAATGAAGTATTTTTAATATAAAAAGAAAGTGTTTCACGAGAATATATCCAAAAATTCATAACCAAAAATGTGTAAATACAACACCAAATTGTTATATTTTTCAAGCACAAAGTATATATATAAAAAGTATGTCCCAAATTTCATGCAATTAGGTTAAGTATAAGTTTGGAAACAAACAGTGGTGACACATGCCATCCTGGTGGTCCAGATAGGGGTAAAAGAAAACAAATGGTGGCATAATGGTAGTGGGAAAGTAGCAATGCAACATAAAACCCCAAAGTTGTAGCAACGTTTCTGGGAGTCCACAAAGTTATGCTGCTGCAATGTAAACTTATAACATTGTGGCAACCAATATGTAACATTGCAGCAACATTGTCCCAATTTGAAATTGTTAGCTGGGTATGTCATTACACCGACATCACTGGAGAACATCTGCCGAGTAAATACACACAGACAGTACAATATCTAAGACTCTTAACAATATTATATACTATTAGAAAGAATGTACTAAAAGTAACCAATATCAAGAAAATAATGAAACAGTGTGCAGTGATGATAATAATAGCATAATAATAAGTTATTAGTAAGTGTATTTATAGATATATTGGGAACCTTTTGATGCTGATGCAGAAGAAAACACAAGTATAGTTCCAGTAGAAAATGAAACAGCATTTTTTGAAAAAGGAAATTTCATTTTATCAGTAGATAATTGAAAATATACCGTTCCCACAATAGACGGTTCTTAACTAAATTGTGAGAAGAATTAAAGGTATTTAAGAAAATTCTTGATCATGAAACTAGCATGAAATTGATACTTAAAAAATGATTACAAAATTACTTCATTAACCTGGGAGTAGCTATAATGAAAGTATTAAGGGTAACACAAACAAAACTCATCAAAAATTACAAACAATTACATAGAAAGTACTATAATGAAGTAATTATGGTGACATTTGGTATAAAAATCCAAATGGAAATAAATGCACATTATGAGACTCTAACTCAAAAAAAAAAGGAAAGAACTATTCATTGACAGTCACTGTCATTATCCATTAACTCATAATGGAAAATCTCTGTGGTTGAAACACCCAAGGACACTAGGGATATTCCATTTGTGAGGCATGATCCAAATGCAAATGTTAAACTAGGTAGTCATTATGGAAGGTCAATTTAGGAGTTAAATGCTTTGACCAACAATGTCTTAACTCTTACTGCCATTTGTTCTCTGCAGCCAGTTCTGGGAAGGCAGTCACAATTAATATTTTGTCCTATTAACATGTCTTATTAAAGGTAATAGTGGTTTCACAATTACAAAGATATATGAATATTTGTAATAACAGTAATTTCTTTTATATAATGTTCAATTACTGGGATATAAACAGTAATAGGTATAAAGTTTGGGAAATAAAATTCTTTACACTTTTAATAACAAATGTTATAACATTGCAAAATAATTATAAGTGAAATGATTACTTTTTGAGATTATAAAGAGGACACTAGTTATTCAAGGTCATCTAGCATTTATAAATAACCAGCCTTAATTAGTGACTTGTGCAGCACAGTTGGATGGATAGACCAACTTTAGGTAGCTGAGAGCTTGCCCAGACAATACTTGAAAAAGTTTTGTCAAGGAAAGAAAACAAGTGTTTAATTAACTGTTACGGAACTATCTAGGTAAGGGTTCATAGTTCCGATTACTATCATTTTGTAAAAGCTATTTAAAGGGTGAAGGTTGGGAGTCATACAAATGTAGAAGTATTTCTAGTACAAGTTTAATTTAAATGTATTAATGAATATTTCAAATTACATTTGCTACATCCGTGTCTGTATAAATAAATAAGAAAATTCAATAACCAAAATTTGTAGAATAATTAGTTTTACTGAAGCGAAACTACTAAAAAATCAAAACCAGAAGAAAAAAATGTCTTCAATACAAGAATAAAAACACTTGTAATTACCTATGTAACTATGTATAAGAAATCAATTTTCTTAATTGTCTAGTTAACCAACAATATCTCACTTAATTCAGTTTCTACAATGAAATGTTTCAAAATTTACTAGTAGTTTTAAAACATTTCAACCTACAGGTGTCTCAATATTCACTGTAAAATGTAATGGATAAATAAAATATACATAATAAAAATGTCTCCAGTAATAATACTTAAATAATCAAAAGTAATTTCTTGAACATTATATAGGTGTTATTCTATACTGACTATTCATAAATTATCAATTTGTGTAGATGTTCTTTTAAAATACCTTACTTCAAACACACCAGATAATTTCATTCACCAATACAAAAACTAGATATAGAAATATAACTGTTATACGAAGACTTCTTTGATTTAATTCATAAAATAAATTATTCACTAATAAATACTGTACATGTAAAATGCAAAAGCTTCAGAGCCTAAAAAAACTTTCGTAATCATGCCATGAACATTTTTACACTAAAAAAAACAAATTTTCAGAACCCCTTTATAAACAATGCTTTATATCAAAAACCAAATACACCACCTACAAGACATTCAAAAAACTTATCATGCAAACAATAATACTTATCCATAAGTAAATGAAATTTGAAAAAAGTTGTCTTACCATTGTTTCCTGGCTTCCAAATACAAGATTTTGCATATTAGTCCTAAAACTTATGTTGTAGTAGAGAAGTACATTTGTAAACAAGACATTCGATTGACTTTGAGGTTGATTTAGGAAAGGCAAAAATATTTCTTAAGAATTTTCTAGCCTGAAATAAAAACAGATACTAATATAACAATGTCACTTAATTATTCTTCTTAAAAGAACAGAAAGCTAATCTAAAACTAATGCATGGCACATATCTATAACTTAGACAATCTTCTTTTTGATATATAATACAGGAACACCATACTGGTGCTTGCCAAATCTGAAAATTCTAGTGAATTCGCAATATTTTAATTTGTATAGTCTTGAAATTGCTAAACTGTTTTACTCATTTGGTCTGTGACAGAGCTTGGAGTACTTTTTCTATTTAACCCTTTCACTACATAATTAATTTTCAGGCTGATTCCCAAAAAGTGTCAATTATCCACCAAAATATAAAAGTATGAATTTTACCCTTCGTAATACTTTTTCAATATTGAAAGAAACTGTATTTTCTATATTTGACAGAAATGTTCCTTGAAAACTGTTTTGGTTAGTGAAAAATAATGATTTAAACAAACAATTGAGGAAAATTAGAAAAAAAAACGTGTTCTCCAGTAAAAGGCATAAATATAGGCAAAACTAAGTCAAAATTGTTACAATATATAAAACAAATTATTTATATAACAGTATTCAAATCATACAGAAGCTGTCTTTATATAGATTCTACATGTGTTCCTGCAAAGTTGTCAATTTTGTAATGAGGCATATGAACATCCAGGTTTCATGGTGTAGAACACAAATGGCAGCACGCACGCAGGTTTGGCAACTGTTTCAAGTATGGGAGGATATTCAGATTATTCCCGCATGTCGCAGTAGAGGGAAACATTTTTTACTAGTTGGGGGTTAAATCTGAATTTCACAGTCAGTGGGTATAAATGTTTATTCGGATATATCCAAACTACACAGCAAAAGGGTTAATAATGACTCATTTCAAAGGAGATAACAAGGAGCCATTTGGCCAACCTTGGCTATTCCATTTTGTACTAGCATCCTACTCTAAATCATATAAAAAATTTGTATACAACACTGATCTCTAAAATACTCATCTTATATCCTCTTAAGTCCATCATTATCACAGATTCTCACACCTGAAGGCAAACTATTCCATACCCCAACTACCTTATCAAAAAATAAAATAAAATAAAATAGCCCAGACTGGATTAGTCAGAGTACATTATATTTTATACTTGTGTCCTCTAGTCTTATTGACCACTTTTTTTAAATTTTAAATCCAATATCTGGACTACTTAAATATTTTAAACAGTTGGGACATTATTCTTTCATTATAAATCTTAAAACCCTAAAATCCTACTGCAGCATAAGCAAAGGAGGAATACATCCCTCTAAACTTTCTCAGATACTCTTAAGCCCCCTTCAAAATTCGGCCACCAAGATTTTTTTTTAAAAGTGATAAAGTTATAAAATATAAAACAGTTTTTACTAAGGACATCAATTCACAGAATGTTTTTTGAAAGAAGGCCATCCATATTTTTAGTACACAGGACTTCATAAAATACAAGTGAATTTATACCTGATCCATTAAGAATAGGAATAAACAAAGAGAATTTGCCTCTAAACTTGAATTCTGAAGGAAATATTAAAACCATCTGTAGCTTAACCCATGGGTAACAAGTTTTGATTATTCTGGGGGTCTGGGGTCTAAGAAGTGTGCTCTATTTGAGAAACAAGATACTGTTACGTCTCTGGTCATTTGTTAATTACTCGTAAAAATTCTTTCCAAAGAACTTCGGCTATACAAGTCCTTTC